GCGGTTGCATTGCTCTTGGGCTGCTGCTTGTTTGGGGCAGATCTTTGTTGCGTTTTTGTCCAGCACAAGACAAGATGACAGTTATCCCTAAGGGTACGTCATAGGCTTTGGGGTTTCCTGCAGGGGTGGGGGTCGTGTGAGGTTAGTGGAGGGAAGGGGGTTGTTCTCGGAATGAGAAATCCTTTTTTTCGATTTTTCAGTGTCACGCGCGATAACTACCTCACTGAGAGAACTGCATTGCTGTGGGGTCGTTTTCACCCGTCACTGGGAGAGAGCAAGGATCAAAAGGATTTTCGTGCGTATAAAGAGTGCCTTCATTTCTCAGCCATGGACGGCGAGGAACGCTTTCGTATAGTTTACATTACAGGGAGAAGTCGGATGCGGTGCATACCCCAGAAGTGCAGTTTTTTGGAGCATTTTCCCTCTTATTGAGCATTTGTAGACGAAAGGAGTAAGCGGAAGGAAGGGTGTGGCTTCCGAGCGCTTCAAGAAGTAGATAGACTTCATAGTTTAATGGATAATTTCGAAAAGACATGGATAACGCAAGGCGATTTTTAAAATTTGGGATGATGAAACAAGTGGCATGCTCACCGCGCGCGTTGGTCCTGGGATCAAGCCTCCGTATTAATCTCCCGCCAGGCCAACCGATGCGTTCTTGTGTCCGGCACGGGACGTTTGAAACCAGATTTGTCTAGGACGATGAGAATACTTGTACATTGGCTGGCCCCGCAAGTCATTGTATAGGCATTCAATAAGCCACTACGATTCTGAATGGAAGTAGAATGCGTGCCGCATCCCACAAAGGGATTGATCAACGGCGAAGACTTTATCCCTTCAAATGGCTAGATAATAATAAACCACATTAATAATAGGAAATAGTAATAGATCTATTGTGGTAATAGACAGCTTAGAGAGAATTTGAGAAGAGTTCCTCAGATTTTCCAGTTTGAGAAGTTTACCTATTAGTGGCACATGTGTTTATTGAAAAAGTGGCCGTCAGATAAGTTGATTTGTGTTCTTTGCATTGACAAGCGAAACTCATGTCCCGAGCTTTTTCTGCAAGACATATCCCCCGGGTGAAATTCATCACGACCAAGAGATGATTCGTGGATTCGCGGCGGCGGGCTTAAGCAAAAAGAGTACTGGAATGTTTCGGGAAAAATTCGGGTTGACATTGACGGTTAGATGACAAACACTTATAGGGGGCTCGGCAGAAGAACCGGGGCCACCCGGCACCCTTCAAAATAGACGAGATGGAAGGGTAGAGGTTTCGGGGTCGATCAATACCTTTTTGGGGTGCGCCACGCATCCTACTTCCGTTCACTATCGCAGAGGATTGAAGCAGTATAGACTTCTTCTTCGTCTTCTTCCTGGACTCAGCTCCACGCCCGTGAGGGAATAACGCAAAGAAGAACAAGAAGGTTTCTGACTGGTTCCGTCATCAGCTGGCCTGCCAGCCTGGACCTGACGCTGGGACCGCTACCATTTTTGCAATTTTTACGGTCACGGTTCTGTGGCGAGCTGCAGTTTCGAGGGCGTAATGAAACTTCGAGATGGAGGTGGTGCAGCAGCAAGTAGCACGCTTACTACTCGCGCACTTCAGAGTTCAGATCGCAGATCGGCATCCACCCAGGTCAACCAAACCTTCTCTTTTCCGGAGACGGTTAATTGGTACCAGATTCGTCTGGGAGGATATGAACAATGACTTGTACATCGGCTGGCCCCCGCAAGTAATGGTAGTCAGTAGTAATCATTGTATGGGCCACATCGCAGTCATGAGCCACTACGATTCTGAATGGAAGTAGAATGCGTGCCGCATCCCACAAAGGGATTGATCAACGGCGAAGACTTTATCCTTTACCCTTTTCTCCTTTTTATGGTCAGTACCTCAGCAGAGATCGAACCCGCGGCCCATTAGAGTGCAGACGTGAGCCCGTACTTCCAGTGACTCGGCTATCACTTCCTACACTTTTTCCTCTATCACGGCACATTCACCTTTGCGGAACCCCATTTCTAAACCACTCCGGAGGAGCTTTTTGAATTTTTTTTTTCAAGCATTGCGGGGCAGATCTAGTCTGAGTCCTCGTACGGCGAGCAGCATACAGGTAAAGCTCTGAAGTAAATATACTCGAACCAGAAGCGTCTGGAAAATC